CAAGATGACAGCTGTAGACGGGGCTGAACTCACGGGACGTCCTGAGCTAATGTAAAAAAAAAGAAGCATACTGTATGAATTAAGCAATGTATTTTAAATAATTACACTTAAATCAATAGTTGTATTTTATGGCACATCTCTCACGGGTTCCTACTGAAATGTGACGTGGCGTGGTGGAATATCTCCGGCCTCTGTCACATCTGCCCTGTAGTAAAAGTGATGGACTTTTTAGGAACAAAAGTAGACATATTTGTGAGTTGTGTTTAGCTCGGGCAAACCCATGATGTGAGAGGTGTGTGATGCTGTAAATATGAGTTCAATGTTTGTGTTGTTACTTTGTGTTGATTTGTTTTTCACGCAACAACTCTGGAAGGTTTTAGGCTTAACCCTCATTAATAAGCTATGGACTTTATACATTTTAAATAATAGTCAATTGTTTAATACATACATAATTTACTTTAATTTATATTTCCTCTTCTTTTACTGCCACTAATTGGGGTACACTTGTATTCGTATAAAGGTTAATACAAAAAGGGGCGACAGTAGCTCAGTTGGTAGAGCATTGGCCTTAAGCCCAGAAGGTTGTGGGTTCAATTCCCACCTCTGCACCTTCTCCACCGACTCCCACTGATGACTGCTGTCGTTGTGTCCTTGGGCAAGACACTTAACCCCACTTTGCCCAAAGCCCCCACTGAAAGATCAAGGCTATGCTCACACTCAGAGAGCAGCCGTCCTCCTGTGGACTCACCACCTGCAGAGGGTCAGTGAGGGGCTGGTGCTATGAGACTTGGGTGGCATCTCTGATTGCCACCCCCCTGACCCAGAAATGGATTAAAGGGTAGAAAATGGATGGATGGATGGACAAAAAACCTTGGAACTAATTACACATTCATAAACTAGTCTTTATGGATAATTTGGATTTTGTTCACGGACAAGCAGCATTTCAACTATGTTCTGTAAATTAAACATATAATTCATTACTTATTCATTAAAAAGCACTTATACTGTGGCTCTACTGCTATAGGCCTCATTAGCTACCACTTTTAAACACTCTCCACTTTGTCTTTTGACCTAAATCAACGTATTGATACTAATATGTATTTATAAGGTGGTGATTCTAACCTCACACGTTGCAGCTGCACCGTCTCCATCAAACCCAGACTTTACGAGGATTACGTCCCTCAACACGAAGCCTTCTCCAGTCTGCGGAGTCTCACACAGAGATGACAGCAGTTAAACGCTGGATTAGCAACAACAGACTGTAGACGGGGCTGAACTCACGTGACGTCCTGAGAAATTCAAATTGCCAAAATATCTCACCAGCTCGGACAAAGTAATGCATATCGAGGTGAAATTGTCCAAAAAAACATGTTGTTTGTTTAGTATAATATGAAAGTAAAATTATTTGCCAACGGATTTATTTAGTTATAATTATTTTAATTCGTTTTTTGGATTGTTCTTGTTTGTACATGAGAATATAACAATTGATAATGCATTTAATTGAAAATATTTGACAGGTACTACCAGGTGCTATAGATTGAACCTGTGCATCCTTAACAAAAGTCTCATGTCTCACTGTTTTTATTATGCATGTCAAATCCAATCTAAAAATATACATATATATATTTTGTAAGGATTTGTTTGATGGAGACAGTGCACATTAATTAATCTAAATGCAGAGTAAATATTGTAGATTATTGAAAATTGCTACTCTCAATATGTTGCCAGTAATCAGGATATGTTTGAGATCAATGTCAATTTAACTCATATTATTATTATTATTTTACTACATGAATCAAGAATCTAATCAGAAAAGCCATTAGTGTTGGAAAAATACATGTATTTCCGAACTCATCCAGTCAAAGTCTATCAGTAAAAGTAAAGGATGCGCTTCACATTTAAAAGCCTGGAATAAAACAATCCAAACTCAAGTCCTTTACAAAAAGCCGAGATGTACAGAAGTGTGTATCATCGTAGGCCTGACGAGAAAGCCTAAACTTAAACTTAAACTCTTTTCAACAATGAGGATTATGGGTGTTTTTCTTGGGCTTTGTTATAAAAACACAGACGCTCTGCACACAGGTGAAGACAGACTGCCTTAAGTTTCAATATTAACAGCTTTCCGACACAAACGGGCAGGTATTAAGTGCAGCACAGCGACAGAAATGCAATTTGCAAATAAGCTCGTGGGTTGACTTGCAAACATGAGTCTAATGGGAGTTTCAGGCTCTTTATAAAGCAGCGTGTTTTTGTGACTAAGCTCCATCTGTTAAATGCCTCACTTTAGTTCATAAACATTGTATTAATTATTCAAATTTAGCTGCATAAATGCTGCATAATGCCTCAAATAACTGCTTTTGTTATGGGTGGAATACAGCAATACCTTTTTAAAGCTACACATTATCTTTGGATATGGCATAAAAAAAGGCATTTCTAACCAATAAAATAGCCACAGAAATACAACTTTGGATCAGAAGTTAAGAATGTGTTCGTGTTGACTCTATGATACAGAATACTCTTAAATTAATTTTTGCATATAGTTCAAACAACAATCAGAGTCAAGTTCATTTAGTTTATTCATGTCTTCAGTCATTACTCCTGCACAATCTAGTCACAAAAGACATTAAAGGTGATATCAGAAACTTAAATTGTATTCTATTGAACGTGGGGCTCTGTGCTATTATGTACAGTGTGTATTTTCCAACAATATTGTATTCAAAATAGTTCCTCTCCTGGGCATAACCACAACCTGTAAGATTTGAACCAATGACAAGGGGCTTCATGGATTTGAATTAATTTCGACCAATCAGGAGGCTGCGGGTCTAATCAGTACTCGTCTTCAAAAAGATCCAATGTCTCTCCATAGTTTGAAAAGAACCTTTAAATCTCTTCTTCTTTTTTTTTGACTTTTACACATCCCATTACAAACCTTTAGACACAGACACATACAGACACACACACGCATACACACACACACACACACACACACAGACACACACACGCATACACATTCACACATTTGTACAGTAGCAAGTATTCAGTAGTGCAATGTTGTGATATATTGTCCAAAATGATTAAAAATGAAACACAAAGTCCCAGTTTATCCCCATATTTCCAAAACCTGTCTCATATGTCGGTGACTGAAATAAGCCAAAGTCGACAATTTTTATAAGGAGCATTGAGAAAGCATTATGATCTGCCTTTACAGCCAACTTTATGTTTATTTATGAATAGAGTATGCTATAAAAACACACTCTGAGCCTATAAAATACTTCTTGTTGCATGACTGTGCAGTAACTAGAACTGCAAATCAACGGCAGCCAATATTTCAGCGTCATTACGGTCTGCTCTGGTCGTGACGGGAACAATGACCGACACAAGATCGAGTGCTGCACGACACCAAATGAAGCCGGGGAAAAAAGTAACTTAGATTTGCCTGTAAGCTTTCCAGACGCACTAAATCATTACCACCATAAACCGCAGCACCAATAAAACACACAGCCTCGCCCGCTATCACAACCGGAGGGAGAGCGCCACGCATTCTCCCCATCTGGATCCATTACAGGGGAAAAAATAACTTCCCGCCCAAACTTGGGATACACGCATACGCAATAGGCAGCCGTATAATTAGAATACAGAGGGAGAAGGAGGCTCGAACATTTCAAAGACAAACATGTTTTTTCCTGTGGTCTAATAAAATTAAAAGTCAATGCCTCAGTACTGGCCTGTGCCCGGAGCAGCCTGGTAATTACTGAGCAGTAAAATGTCAAATGAGGAAGAGGAGGGGTAGTCTGGGATCCCATTGCTGGTGGTGGGCTGTGGGAAAGATAGGTGTTAATTATTTGTGGAGACGGATGCAATAATTCCTTGTTAATTTCATGCAAAGGGCATACAGTATATTGGACAAAAACACACATCTTTTTGTCCCCAGCGATATATGGTTCCGGTTAAGTGTGGAGAAAAAAGTTTCATGTCAAAACAAAACTCTAAAGAAAACAGAGGCAACAGTTTTCATAACAGAGTTTGGATTGTTTTTTTTCTTTTTATGTGTGTGACAAAAAGCACAAGAGTCTGACTTTGCCAGATTCACCCCAGTGGGCTCACAATACAATAGATTAAAAACGGCATGAAATATAGCAGTATAATATAATATAAACTTGGCTTAAAGGTGCAGTACATTTTTTTTTTACTCCAGTATTTCTGGTCCAAACACGTGCGTTGCCAATGTCTCCAGCACAGATCAGGTCATAGTGGCCATTGTTAAAATGAAGAAGGAATCAGAATTTAAAAGTGGATTACACAGACAAAAGCATGTGTAGTTTGAAATACAGACTATACTTATTGTTCCTTTAATCCTTTAGGTCCTGGGTTCGAATCCCGATCGGACCAGGGCCTTTCTGAGTGGAGTTTGCATGTTCTCCCCGTGTCTGCATAGATTTCCTCCGGGTACTCCGGTTTCCCCTACCACTAAAAATATGTCAAATAGTTCTGGCATGCGCCTCCTGTACTGGCGACCCCGCTCCCATCTCTGTGCGGAGTGAGAGACAAATGCCCAAAATTGACAATTGTAAACCGCTTTGAGACTCAGATCTGCAGTGAAAAGGCGGTATATAAATAAAGATTACTTACTTACTTACTTAATATTTCCCAAAGTCCCAAAAATGTTTGTTCCGGCACTTCACACCAAACATGCGCCTTTACTCCAAATACTAACTAGTTTTGCTCGATGTAGAACAGTAGAAATTTCCGTAGACAATGTTTATGTTCCATTCAATCATATACAGTGCATAATGCAAAAGATGTACAGGCTTCAGACAGTCGCACAGAACCAAGCTCACACTCATGAAGTCCTCTCCTGTCTCTGTTCTGCTTCATTTTTTCTTTTTTATATATATACACAGAGCCACACAGAGCAGCGGCAAAACTGAATCATCCAGCAGGAGCATGGAGGATTATTGGGACAAATGTTAGTCTGATCTCTCTGTGACCTCTGTCCACAGCTCCGTCTCCTGTGTCCAGTATCCGCAAAGACAAGATGTCCAGGAACAGTGTGTCGCTGTCCTGGCACGAGCCCGAGAGGCCGAACGGCATCATCCTGGACTACGAGATCAAGTACTACGAGAAGGTGAGCGCACACTGTCACGACCTGTACTTCCACCTGCTGTGTTATACGTAAAAATGGTCATCTGTCAGAGTGATGTCACATGTCTCGTTGTTACTGTCAAGCCTGGGTGCTTAACTTTCAATGTCAAAATGTCTCAGTATTTCTTGCCTGTGAAATAGATTCTTTCTGTCTTTTCACATCAATGTTTTCATCATTGGATCAACTTTAGACTTAAAAATGAGAGGGTTCGTTATTGACACTGGTCTGGTTTTACTTTTACAAGTCTCTTTCTACTGGGATCAACTACATTACATAGATTATCCATGAAACAGATACAGGCAGTTACCCCGGGAGGCAGTTCAAGGAGCAGTATGTAAAAAACTGGCCAAAAGTGGTACTGCAGCCTCTCCCACTCTTCCTGACTCAGGTTGCCAGATATGCAGACGAATCCAGCTGGGACATAATATCTGAAAAGGCAAGGAGTTTTATCAACAACAAATCTATAACCAACACATTTTTCACAGAGGTCAAAATCCTGGTTTTATTACTCGTTTTGTTGTTAATGATTTGACAATTACAATGCGGCCACATGGTACTTGTCGCTGTGAGATTAGTTCAACACGGTGAGTTCTGGCAACCTGGATCACGGCCTTTCTGATTGGTTAAACGGTGGAGGGCGGGACATCGAAATGAAAACAAGATTTAGGGGCTGTAAAACTAATTTTGTAATCCCAATATCTCTGAACTACTGTTAACCGTTAAATAAGTATTTGAAAAGAGACTGTTTTATTAATGACGTCACAGATTAGGGCCCTTTTAATGGTGACTTGACATGAAAAAAGTTAAATCAAATATTGTACATAGCAATCGCAGTTTATTTTACAGTTTTATTGTTGAAATCTTGAGCATTAAACTGATTTGTGGGGTCTTAAAGGCTTTCTGCATTCCATTTTGTCGTCTTCGATCTTGTGTGCGCTCTCCTCCTCGGCCTGAGTATTTGGTGAAACGTGTCCTGCTCTGAGCCCTGTCGTCTGTGTGTGGCTGTCCCAGTGCCAGCAGTGGCCCCTAATCTCTTGATTAGTAGGCTGACAAAAGCTGTTTCCTCTGTAAACTCTGCTCCCTTCTTACCCAGACTTCCCCAAGATCTTAAACCAAAGCTGAAAAACGAGAGACAGTTAATGGCGCGAGGGTCAATGCCTCCTGATTCCCAGCTTTATTCCCAAACGCATATTCAATTATGGAGAAAGGAAAGTGACAAAAATGGCTGCCCTTGATCCGGTTAATCACAATAGTCTTTCAGGAATTACAGGGACACACAGGGATCGAGACATACAAAATGAGTTCCCAGAGGATTCTCCACACCAGCCGCTGTGTACAAGCAGGGATCCGAACACAAAAGGACCCACAATGCACCCTGGTGAACTGGGATGAGAGGACAGGCATGAGTATATGGGACAGAGGGCAGCGGACAGGACACGGCAGTCCCCGAAAACCAAGACCACAGCTTTGAGAAACACACAAATGTAATTATACAGACGCATAAACAGAACTGCTAAACACATTGTGCAAACATTGATTATGAATGAGGTTTTTGAGGAGGGCTTTCCGTTCTCCAATTACAGCAAAGTCAGCGCTGTTTAGAATACTCGGAACAGGGATTCAAAAGGTGCCCTGAAAGTGTGTCATTTTGGTTTGGTAATGTTTATGACTATAGTCCCACGACACAACAGGGTAAGACTGAATATTCACCCAAAAAAAACAGAAAATTACTAAAACAATGCCCATTTGTGGAAACATTTAAGTCCAGTTTGTTCCCATAGCTTTTGACGGTTATAATAATGAAGCGAAGGTACTTGTGGCAGATGCATTGTGGGATGTCTATTTTGAAAAAAGGTTTTTGCTTTCAATTCTGTTATTACTGAATTTTCATGATTGCCCCTAAAATAGTCTACCACTCTGACTCAACACCCGACAGACTAAACTTTGTTGCGCTCATTCTCGGAAATTCCCAACCAGAAGCCTCCGCTGCACTTCCACAACACTTCACCGCGATAACTCACTTCTTCTAAGTGCACTTTGAGCAAATAGAATTTGTGGGAATACACTATTGTAATTATTTTTGGCCTGCTCTATCTCTGGAATCTTGCAAGCTTCAAGCGCAGACTTTGAAGATGGAGGTTACGGACATGGTATGATTCTGCTGTACATAACATTGGTATAATTTGAACCGGCTTTGTTTGGATTCTCAAAACATGGACCAAATTAAGCTGCAACTGTAGAGCAGAGAGTCCCAAACAGTGGAGCAGGTACAATGGCTCTCTATTGGTGTCTAGTAATACAGGTTTCTAGTAGTGTTGTAGTTGAAGATTCAATTTTGTTTTTGTGACTTTGACCATTGTTTCTTGAATATTTCAGCTGGAGTTTATACAATTTATTTTCAGAAACACTCCCTGATGTGAATGAGCAGGAAAATATCCAGGGACATGGAAAAAAAGGTTGAACATAGCGTTGACATATTTGAAAAGACACCAAATTCAATATTGATCAGCTTAAAATCTGCATTATAGATCAAACTCATTTTGGTCAGGGGCCAAGAGCGGGTTGGGGCCAAAAGTATAAACGTGGTTAACCATTATTATTATTATTATCATTATTATTATTATTATTAATATTGTCTTTTACATATTATTGTATTTTTTGCCAATTTTATTTGACAAAGATTACATGAATTTAGATATTATTTTCTAGTATGTTAGTAGAATCTAGCTTAACTTTTAAATGCATTTTAGAACAGATTCAATGGTATGGTTGCCTAGAATGAGTCTGGTGTGTGTATGAATGCTTGGTGGTGGGAGGGGCCGATGGCACAGACTGGTTGCCTCGCTTCTGTCAGTGTGCCCCAGGGCAGCTGTGGCTACAGTAGTTTATCACCACCGTGTTTGGAGTGAAAGAATAATGACACATGTGAAGCGTCTTTGAGTGTCCAAAAAAGCGCAATAGAAAACCGATTTATTATTATTATTATTATTATTATTATTATTATTTCCTGATAAAATTATTACATGCCATACTATCCCATTACCAATGCTGCAAACTACTCTAATGATGATAATTGAAAATAATTTCAGGAGCCATTAAAAATGATCTCTCAGGCTGGATTTGGCCCACGGGCCTGAGTTTAACATGCCTGTTATGGATGAATAGTGAGATAATTTCAAAACCAGACAAAACAATCACATCAAGACCTAAAACATATTCAAGAGAAACCTAAAGACCTCTCAAGTCCTGCAAGTTAAATCTTGAGCCACTAGCAAAGAGAGCTCTCAACATAAACCATGTGTGAGCCGTGAATGTGTGTTTCTGTTTCTTTCCCCGTTGTCGTCTTACACTAAACGCTCTCGGTGTCTCGCTCCACGCTCCAGTCCCATCCACACGTGTGTCTGATTTGAAGGATCACTTCTGTCCTGAGCCCTGAGCAGTGACAAGTCGGCCGTGGATTTACCGTCGTCCTGAAGCAGCGGTGTTGTATCAGTTACCTCCGTCCCCTTTTCCCTCCCTTCTTTCTCACACATGTTACGAAAGCTTAGAGCTCCATAAAACTGATCCATGTCCTCCAGAGTGTGCGGATTCTGCTGGAAAACACTTGTGTACGTGTGATGCTGTCCGTACCAATAAGTTCCTTCAAATAACTCAATCGTCTGTAAATCGGACCCGCTGAACAAGCCCTGGAGGTTTGTTTTATGAGGTTGGAAGAGATTAGGTCAGAACCTCAGGAAGTTCTTAAACAGCTTATCTGATCAATTAAAGTGTGTAGTTGTAAAAGAGAGGCAATGACGATGAACAAAGCTGACGTTGTTAAGTTGTTAAAACATTTGCGATTGACTGAAACTTAGGTAGATTGGTTCAAATGAATCTCTTCTCACGTCTTGTAACTCTACTTTAACACATTGGATAGAAGTAGTTGATTTTGAAGGTGCTCGGCCCAAGTTACATCGACCTAAATACATTGAACCACACATGTATTTATTTATTTATTTGATATGGACACAACAGTTACATTGGACAGACCAGGTACTGCACACTGCCTTTAGCCTTATAACAAGACCATGCTAATCTATCCATTGGAGACTTTTAGGACATATATGCACACATTTGCAAATACATACAATACAAATACAATTCATTAAGTAATTGACTGCCATTGACGTATTTGTCTGAGACCCTCTTTTCCACTGGGGGTTTCAGGACAAAAAAAAATAGCTAGAAACAAACTCATTTTTGCTGTTGAAAGTAGACAATCCAGTCTTTCAGAATCTGGTTTCATATTTTACATAGTCTTAGGAAATAATATTCTGTGGGTCTTGAGAATCAGTGAAATCATCAAAAACGGCTGGCAGTCAATGAGTTGTAAACATGTATACAATTTTTCTCAGATTTCAGCCACAATTTCTGACATCTGATGAAGATGTTTTAGTCTGTTTGTAGTTTTAGGTCAGTGCGAAGAGCGTTCCACAGTCTGGCTCCGTTATTGGAAAAGCTGGACTGTCCAAAAGATGTTCTGAACTAAGGAACCACGCAGTCCGCACTGACCGAGGCTTAGGTCATCAAGAGCCTTGACGTTTGACAGCCAGACCAGAGAACAACGGCGGAAAAAGATTTCAACTTGCCGCTATTCACAGATCAGGGATTGAAAGCAGACAATGAACCAGATCAAAGTTATACACAACACATTTTGTTCTTGTTTTAAAGTCTTCATTTGAATCCTGACAATTACTTTATGCACTTTCAAGTCATTTATGTACTCAAACAAAGTGCTCTCTTTAAGTCCTGCTTTCCTGTCTTTTCCCCTCGTATTTTCTTCCCTCCTCTTGGTAACATCTGGAAACAATGAACTACAGCTCTGGATCCTCCTGTTGTTTTATCAGAGCGCACCGGGCGGAGAGCTGCAGTAAAACTGTACCGGCATAACTCTCCATGTTAGTAAAAACGCCTACGTGTCGGGAATATTTGTGTGTTTACTTTAGATTTGTACCTAATACCGTATTTCCCGTATAAAAGTAAACTCTATATTATCCCTGTCTGTGCGCTCGTGTGTGGCAGGAGGAGCAGGAGACCAGTTACACCATCCTCCGGGCTCGCGGCTGTAACGTGACGCTCAACGGCCTGAAGCCTGGGACGGCCTATCTGCTGCAGATCAGAGCGCGGACTGCAGCCGGCTACGGAGCCAGCAGCGCCAGCTTCCAGTTCGAGACCAGCCCTGACTGTGAGAGATGCAACTTCATATCACTGTGTTTATGAGATAGCTACGCACAACCACACAACATGCACGGCCCAACATGAAAGTCGTAGACACAAGTGCAGAGCAATAACACGATACATATTTGGAATTGCGTACACTAACACTGAAAATCACATTCAACAACATTTATGGACATTTTATCATTATGTATGGACTAAAGGGTCTATGTGTTTTTATTATTGCATTTCTTGTGTTCAAGTGTTGATTATCTGATCTGCGTTGGTAAAGTCATCGATTTTGTTAAGTCCATTGAGATAACTACTATTGTAATTTAGGGCAGTGTTTTTCAACCTTTTTTGAGCCAAGGCACACTTTTTTCACTGAAAAAATCTTGCGGCACACCTCCAGGAGAAAATGTAAAAATGTATACAGTACTAATGTAAAAAAATATATACTGTACATACTCTGTGTGATATATAAAGTATATCTTATCTTATCTTATAATGTAAACAGTATACTCTGTAGCCTATATTCACAATATACAGTTATTCTCATCAAAATGCTTAAGTCCAGGCCTTGACATTAAGCTTTATTTAATATTTCTCGATACAATTAACAAGAGTTTGGGAATAAAGTGGCACTAACTGTGTGGAAAAAAACTAAGAAAATCCACTCTCTGCCCAAATAGTCAAATAATAACTCACACAAAGAACATGCATTGTTAGTGCATGGGAAAAATTTAGGTATCCGAGCTTTAAATTCAGGAGTTTTGGATGAGGGACACGGGAGGTCCTGAACGCGAGTCCATGGTTCTGTCCGGTCCGCATGTCTGTGGTTCTGTCCACTCGACTATGGTCTGCGCTCAGTACCCAGTTCAGAAGTGCGTTCGCGAGAGCTGTTGTACAAAAATTGTACATTTCATAGTTAAACCACTACAACGCGGCCACAGCTGCCCCGGGGCAGAGCGGAGGATGTTAATCCTGTTCAGAAACGGCATAATTCATTTTCAAAAACGTCTCTATCACTTTCACTTCTCACTCGCCACAAAGCTCTTGTCTCGCTCCCTCCCACATTTGTTGGTCGCATCCAATTTTACCTTTCTCGCCACAATGCTGACCTGTTACAGCCAGTGGTCGCATCCAATTTTTCAGTTTCAAAGTACTTAGCTATCTGCTGCCATCTACTGATTTGAAAAAGTATTACATGGTTACTCCACAGTTCAAAACAAGTCACTGCTCGTCAACAGCGAATGCAGTTATTTTTAGACAAAGTAGACGAATTTCTCACGGCACACCAGACAATATCATACGGCACACTAGTGTGCCGCGGCACAGTGGTTGAAAAACACTGATTTAGGGCAATACAAGAATACATACCGGGCGGCACAGTGGCTGAGTGGATAGCACTCTCGCTTCTCAGCAAGAAGGTCCTGTGTTCAAATCCCGGTCGGAATAGGGCCTTTCTGAGTGGAGTTTGCATGTTCTCCCCCCTGTCTGCGTAGGTTTCCTCCAGGTGCTCCGGTTTCCCCTACCACTAAAAACATGCACAATAGGTATGAATGTAAATGAGAGAGTGAATGGATGGTGTTGATTGGAGCTGATGGTCCAGTGTGTTCGGCGACTCGCTTCCGTCATCACCGTGTGTGGAATGGTTGGAACAATATCTGACTCTGAACATTGTAAAGTGCTTTGGGAGACCTTGGTCTGTAATTTGCGATATATAAATAAACAATACTTACTTACATTGAATGATTAGAACCAAGTGACTGGTTGGTACTTCGATGGAGACTGGCGAAGGTTGTATCTTGTATGAATCTGGTGTGTGTGCGTGTGTGTGTGTGTGTGTGTGCGCTTGTGTGTGTGTATGATGGCTGGAGGAGCCACCAATGGGACTGTTTCTGTTACCCTGCCCCAGGACAGCTGTAGTGAATTGAAAATGCACACCATTGTGAAGCTTCCGTGACTGTGGGCAATCAAGTCTCTTATCGATAGAAAGGCTGAGCTTTGATATGAAGACAATAGATTTTCTTCTCTCTCTGTTTACTGACACTAAATCACTCTCTCATAATATCACTGTATAATTTACAGCAATCACTCTCTTGCTGAACACATATTATTCTTGTGCTGGTCTGCCCTGAGACAACTTACAATCTCCCACGACCTTTGTGGCCATAGTGTATTTGTTCTCATATTGCCGTAATCACTGCTCCGTCATCTGCGTTCACAACATGAAGTTAGCTGACACAGATCATTAGTCTTTTTCACATCACTGTCATGTGCTTTTGACAGAGAAAACATGTAATGACCAGTATGCTCGATGGACCATACTTTTCTTCAAGCCTATTATTGCTTACAATTGCTTTTAATTGCATGTACAGTATACGTATTTACATGACCCACAAGTTCATGGGAATCTAGCTTCTCTATCACAGAATTCACATATGTAGATAGATAGATACTTTATTGAACCCCGTAGGGTTAGGGTTAGGGTTAGGGTTAGGGTTAAAAATCAGGTGTTCAGTAGCAGCAAAAACACACAAACAACATATAAATGGATCAATCTAAAAAGCTTAATTTGTTTCTTAAAAAGTTATCTACCTGTGTTTTCCAGCTGCCTTCTCTATTTCCGGTGAGAACAGCCAAGTGGTTCTGATCGCCGTCTCCTCCGCCGTGGCCATCATCCTGCTGACGGTGCTGCTATACGTCTTGATTGGCAGGTCTGTCCACCAATCACACAGCTCCTGTCACACTATCCTCACATTAGATTGTGCTGAGCAACTTTCCAGGTCCTTCTACCAGTACCGTCTGTACTGCCAAAATTCGTCTTAATTTCTTTTCTGTTATTTTAGCCAGAAACATGTGTGTGCGTGGGTGTGGGCACATTTGTGTGTGGCTGGAGTTGGCAGTCCAGAGCGCTCGCCGAATGTCTAAATCCACTCCTCATTATAAGACTTACTGATCCTCTTTTGGCGTATAAAACTTGGGATTACGCACTCACTGCTTACGCTTCCATCCTCTGCCCTTGGGTGAGGCCTCATTGAACCATTTTATGCCACTTCTCCTGACCCTGTTCTTTTTGGCTTTCTAGGTTTTGTTGCCGAAGTAAATCAAAACATCCTGATGAGAAACGACTCCAGTTTGGCAATGGACACTGTAAGTTCATATACCTCTGCTTGTTCTGGCTCTATATTCTGTCTACTGCTGCAGAAATACAACCAGGCAGATGGATTAAGCATAGTTTTAGTTGCTGAAATATGTCTTCATTGAAGTTTGCAATGTTGAAGAAGTTGCTGTGGTTATTCCCATGATGTGTTGGATCATACAGTATGAGAAGACACTTTTCTGTCTGAGATCAGGCGAAGAGAGTGGTTATTCGGTCCATTGCAAACAAATCCGTTGGGCTTTGAAATCTAGCAACACGCCAGTTGCAGCTTGTTCTCTTCATTGGAAATTATTAATGAAAGGTTTTCCTGTACAAATCCTTTCAAATTGGATGTTCAAGGCCTGATTGGATGTCTATAAGTTTTCGCATCCCCCCCGAAACAAGAAAAGTAGTTATTGTAAGGAGAAAATCTCAATTGTATTGTATTTATTCAGTGTTCAAAAATATTGACAAGCGTTTTGAATGGTAAAGTAAACGTGACCTAAAGCTAACTTTTAAATCATAAAGGGAATAGGATGTAGTGGAATCCATGTAACTTATTCTTGGCGCGAAAACAGCCACAAACTCTAATTTTGCACGTACTTGCATGTATTTTCAGCTTCTGTTCGTTCTCGAGACCACCCTCACTCAGCCAATCAGCATCTAGCCCAGTTATTTATAAAACAAAACGACAAATGCCAGTTTGAAACATATATATAAAGAGCTACATCTACAATTTGTGTTCTAAAGTTGTCCTGATTATTCATAAACTCTGAGCACATTTGTACAATTATACAATTTGGCGAAGCAAAGAGTTGCCCACACTGTAGTCCAATTTGTACAAACAAAAGCCTAAAGTACTTTCTCTAGTGCAGAGAAAAAGCCAAAGGGTCAAGATCCTGTTCAAAATTTACATCCAGCTTCCTGACCCCTCTCTGCCTTTATTACCACACCATGTAATTTATTGAGTATAGCGCCACCTTTAGCCTTGGCCTCTGCATTGATCCCAGAACTCCCATGTGGACCAACACCGGAGCTGAAATGGGTCAAACTCAAAAGCCTTCATTTCCCAACAGAGACCAATAAAACAGGACTTTACAACTTGTTTATGAAGATTTAGTATCTCGCACAAGTTTCTGTTATTGCTTGTAACGTGTGTGGGGCTGGTGGCCGCAAATCAGGCTTAGAGTCAGAATTATCTTAAACGGTGTGTGCTGACATGACCATGCATCACCGTATGTTTGCTCAGAGTGATGAAGTTTCTCTCTCTCTGTCTGTCTCTCTCTCTGTCTCTCTCTCTGTCTCTCTCTTTCTCTCTCTGTCTCTCTCTCTCTATGTCTCTTTTTCTGTCTTTCTCTTTCTATCTGTGTTTGCCTCTCTCTCTCTGTCTCTGTGTCTCTCGCTCTCTCTCTTTCTGTCCGTCTATGTAACTGTATCTGTTTCTCCCTCCTTCTCTCTCTGTCTTTGTGTCCGCCTGTCTGTTTCTCTCTCTCTCGTTTTGTCTCTGTATCTGTGTATGTCTCTATTTATCTCTCTCTCTGTCCCGCTGCCTCTGTGTCTGTCTGTCTTTCTCTCCCTCTCTCTCTCCCTCTGTCTCTCTCTCTCTCTCTCTCTCTGTCCGATTTGCAGTGCGTCTCCCGGGGATTCGCACCTACGTGGACCCGCACACATACGAAGACCCCAGCCAGGCCGTGCACGAGTTCGCCAAGGAGCTGGATGCGTCGAGTATCTCCATCGACAAAGTGGTGGGAGCAGGTGAGAAGAACATGTTTGTGTAACGGATGGTGGTGGCGCAATCTTCCATTCGTGATTTCTATTTTTGGTTTTCTGCCATGTAAGCCCATTATTCATAGTTGAAACATTGCAGCAGGACACATTTATATCCATTGAAGCTGGGGTAAGGCAAGGCAAGGGAAGTTTATATGTATAGCACAGTTCATATAAGAGCAATCTGATCGTTATAGATCAAATAACACACATCCATGTTTAGCTTTTTAAGATTGAAAAGTGAAAATGTGACTGTTAAAAGACAATAGGTTTTCTATCATAATGGGGATAAGGATAAGGGGATTTTCAGTCTGATTGTTCACAAAATAAAGCGAGTTAAAAAAGTTATAAATGTACCCCACCTTGAATAGATTCCTGCAAAATAGTACAACAATATGTTTCAGGCTTTGTTATTCTCAAACAAGCCCATTTCTCAACATAGTCACTGGGCAACAAGTTCTTCCCATCCAAAAGTTATAAGCAAGACCAATGTCAGTCAATTTTTATAGTTGGCCCGATTAATAATCCTCTAGCCACTTTTATTCAACAATTTTATCACATCTATGATCAAATGTGTGATCAAGAATGTGAAGAAAGTTTGAAAAAGTGAAAAATTGTTTTATGTTTTAGGATCATACCAAGTTGGGCCTCCAAAATCCTCAAAGATATATATTTCCCATAATTTTATTCCATCCATCCACCTATAATTAAAGTCCTTTTTCTCCTCAGTGCTTCTGCTTCTCACCTTCACTAAATAACCCGCATAATTTCATGCTACAATTACACCGGGGACGTCCAGAATTAATCTCAATTTGCTTTAAACAAACATTCCTTATGCGAGTGTCATTTTCACGTTTACACCTCCCCATCAAGTTGCGACCGGTTCACGGACTATTTGAATGAAAAACACACGCAGGCCGCCAATGTAAAGCTGCAGTGCCCCACGTTGGCATCTCCTCTTGCAGCGGGCCGGTTCTGAGTGTGTGCCATATAACTCACAGCTGGAAGTGAGAACACATTAAATGCCGCAGCGTGGAGCCCCTTCCTCTGCGTGATGAGGGCCAGCGATTTTTCCCTTTTCTCCGCGAGATGCTTCAGTGCCATCTTTCCAATCTTAGCTCCTTTGTTCCCGTCCGAACTCTTCTAAATTGTCCGACTGTCTTGAATTAACTGTAACATTAGTGGCCGCAGCTCTTTCCAGCCACAACAGCGTGCATGTGGTGTTGATCTAGAGATGTGTGAGCTTTGCAAAGTTTAGATGACTCCAGAACCCTTTCTCTTCATGCAACGTTGCAGCATCTTGGTTTAACTAAGCTCCAAAGTAAGTTTAGTATCGTTCCCAGCACCGTGACGAAGACACCCACAAAATACGTTAACAAACAATCGGATTCTCTCTAAATCCTCGGTGGTCCAGATCAAAGAAATATGGTCAAAGAAATAGGAAGTGGATGAACTACGCAAACAAGAAGTAGATTTTATAATCCCATAACTGCGCTAGAACTGAAACCGATCTTGCCATGATTGGGTATGATACAAAACAGTTTCAATACAGTTTTGATCTACTGGTTTCATAGTGGTGCAGTATATTGACACAAGTAATCAATTCAATTTGTATATTTCTCTGGAAAAAATATAAATGATTCTTACAATGTCTGGAAAAGCAACACTTAGTAATAGACACATAACCTCAAACTGCTTTCTTTGGCACTACACAGAGCCAGTAGCTTGCTTTCAGCAGGTCAGACAATGAAAAATAATGTAAAGTAATCTTTCTAACCCAGAGAATAACAGATATTGTTTTTGGCAACTAAACACATTGCATTACATGAATCATTAAATAGACAGAGCAGCTTGTCTTTCCCATCTTTAATACAGTTCAGTAAGTGATTTTGAAAGGCCAAAACAATACTGAACTTGTCAATCCCACTGGAATAACAATCAGAGATGTAGTTCTGAAAGCTCCTCGCACGTCTCCTCATTAAGTTAGCCAAGCGGCAAAGTTCGAATGTCATTAAACGACTCATTTTGAAAGTGAACTGAGTGAGTCTATAGTCAATTTACCGCCTGCAATCTTGAGTGTGTACAAGCTGTCCAAACAAGGCACTATACGTTGGGTTTCTCTGTCTGTTTTGGACTCTCTCCCCATCTGTCTTCATTAGCGTGCTCATTTCAGACTTTGATCTTCCCGCTCTTGTCGATTGCGTGCTAAAAGACACAAAACATGCTGGCCGCCGCACGGGTCAAACATCAAAGTCCATTACCTACATCTGCCCCAAAACACGGTAGCCCTTCATCAGCCTCGTTTTGGTCTCTCGCCGACCACATTAGGGTTGCGTGGCCTGGCTCGAGTGTCCACTGCTATGTCCCAAAAATGTCACTATAAGCAGGCGAATGTTTGGGGTTTAGAAAGGTAGCAATTACTGTTTTTCAGCCTTAGAGTAGACCTATACTAGACTGGGTTCATGATGTCATATACAATATTTAGATGCATCCATAAGCCTTGCAACAATAACCCAATAACAGTGTGTATACATGCGTCTCTAGTGTCACATGTTTTGTTATGCTACAGCTGCAATATATCAAATAGAATCGTGTAGTAATGTGTTTCTGCACTGGCTTTACTAGATTTGATTCCAATCCAAACAGCGTAATGCAGTGGAATCTTCCATATTGCAAGGACAAAACAAAGCACTGCGTATTTCACCAGGGACAATGTTTACAATACGGCTTCGGCTCCCCAGGGGAAACTCAGTCTCTGACAGCTGCAGGCGTGGATATAAAGCTGAATTATTACATGTGAATCTGTTTATGTGTTTTAGGAGAGTTTGGGGAAGTTTGCAGTGGTCGTTTGAAGCTTCCCAATAAGAAGGAGATCTGTGTGGCCATCAAGACTCTGAAAGGAGGGTACACAGAAAAACAGAGGCGGGACTTCCTGGCCGAGGCGTCAATCATGGGACAGTTTGACCATCCCAACATCATCAGACTGGAGGGAGTGGTCACCCGCAGTAAGTACATGCGCTAAACTTACCCATCATGCCTCTTAAAGCTGGGGTACCTACGTTTTCAACTGCAGCAATGGAACAATACGATACAATTCTCCTCTTAAAACAGTTTTGTTCCCAGTTTTCACATGATTGCTTATATTTGGCCTAACTCTAACTGTAACCTAAGCCTAACAAGTTTAGTGCGGGAGGACCAGCCTCACTCAGCCAATCAGTTCCCAGCCCAGTGTATCAAAAAGTATACTACATTTTTCTTATGAGACGTGGTTTGATAAGCAATGAATATAAAAAACCAAAGTTTTACTATGCATACAGGAAAAAGGACCTTCTCACTTTGAATAAAAAGTCATATTTGAATCTTTTTTTAGATAGCACATTTAACAGACCACGGTCACACAAGGCGCTTTACAATTTGGGGTCACAACTCAAATCACTGCCTACCATGGATGGATGCGATCGTTGTAATTGGATTCACCATATATCACACAGATGCCCTCCCATGTGAGAAAAAGTGACTTTTTACAACCATATCAACGTAGCAAGCACCCACATCTGATTTTCATTACAGCAGCTTTAATTCACAATTTTCCGACATTCTTTTGACCAATTTCACAGTTCTACTAGCCTTTGACAAATGATCATAAAGTGTTCGACGCTGGTGTGAAAGAAACAGGAGTTTTATTGAGCGGCCCTGGTGTAAATCTGCAGATCAATGCGCTCTGATCAAAGCCTGTGTCCAAAGCGGTATAAATCCATAAATCCATATCTGTGGCGCGCTCCCCTCCGGGCCTCTTTATGCGATCATTAGCACTCACACAAGAGAAAAGGAGAAAAGGAAGGACTGCAGAAAACTGTAATGAGACTGAACTTGGTGGAAGAGAAACAGGACGGGCCCAGTGTTATCCTGAGGCACGGGCTCGTTAGATTCTTCTGACACCACAAGTTTAAATACAGAGGCAATACCTGAGGTGCAGAGGAATATTCAAGAACCCTGCACTTTATATTAGTTGAATATGTTCAGCTTTTCATCATCTGCATTGTAAAATACAGAGTCTGCAAATAAAGGGCTCTTAAAATAACTGCGGGAGAACATGTTTGTCAGATTTCCATTATAAAGGAGCCTGTTCAGGTGGAGGATGTGCCACTTGCTTGTCCCCAGGGGAGGATTTGCCTTGTTTTTACAGTGTCACATTATGTATACATATGTACATATTTTTCTTTCTCTTCAATGAAAAAAACAAACAAGCGAGTGGCTCCCATTTCTGCATCCTGTCTATTGTTATAGTGAACGTATAGATGAAGACTATAGCACCATCTGTCAAGTTCAACAGACAACACTCTCAATTCAACAGAAGTCCTTGACTGTGATCAATTCCAAAGTTAGACAACTGTAACAGCCTGGTCACTGGGCTCTCCAAACGCTGTAAAACATATGCTACATGCTTTCAACACACTGCAGCTCGAGTCAAGAACCAGGAAGTAAACCAGTGCTCCGGTCTCTGCTTCCTGTTGTAGAAAACAGACTTTAAAGCAGCTTTGTTTGCTATAAGTCTCTCCACCAAAGTACATCTGTGACATGTTAGTGCCATTAAACCATCTCTGAGGAGCACAGGGACTTGTCTCTTGCTGGGACTCTGAGGAGCACAGGGACTGGTCTCCTGCTGGGACTCTGAGGAGCACAGGGACTGGTCTCCTGCTGGTGTCCAGAGTCAGGACTAAACATGGGAAGACAGTTCTAACGCTAGCTTGGGCTGCGCGGGATCTGACTTGTGGGCAACCAATATTTACATCATTAGGAATTGTATTAAAATAGTTTAAAGGCTACATTATTATTGCACAAAGAAAAAATCACATACACTACACAGTCTGTACCCAGTGTTTCTGATTTATCCAGCAAAAAACTGGTAAAGTTATCCTGAAAGTGTGAGAAAGGCTTCTACTCAGACATTGTTAAAATGCAGGCTACTGTTCTTCTCCACACTCCTCTTTGGCTTCTCTAGACCCAGAAGAAATGGCTCCACTGTGGGATGAATGTCGACTCTCTTAAACGTAATGTAAATAGCTTAATCCTTTATATCGATTACATAATGAGGGCTACAGACAAATATGTGTGCATTTTACATTTTCTATCACACATATCCTTCCACGGTACATGCATTTGTTCTGCCTGGAGACTAACCTAAATCCACTCTTGCATAGAACAGAAAAGTTAAATATACAATTACATATTTCCTTCTGCAGAAACCTTTCCAATGCACGAGCTGCCAGGTACAGTGGGCATTCCCCTTGTTTTTGTAATATATCATAGACCGCTATTTAGGCTGTGTAAACATCCAGAGTGGGGCTGAGCGCACAAACACAGAGCTGTGCAAAGACTGATAAATGCAGGCCATAGTTTCAGGATGTCGATTTGACACGCTCCTGCTCACACACACACACATACACACACAAACTCGCACACACACAAACACACACGTACACACTGCTTCTTTATCCCTTGCTTTCTCTTCCTCCCTCTCTCTGCTACAGGGTGATTTATTAAGCTGCTCCTGTTAATTCTTAATAATATGGGACTTTCACAGATCATTTACCTCGCCGCTACTTTTGGCTGATCCTCTCCCTCTGCATTTTACACACACTCATATTCAGATGCATGTATTCTGCTCTCCTCTTCACACTCAGTGAACTGGCGCTGGGCCGTTTTGTGGTTGAGAGACAAAGAGCAGGGATGGGGAGGAGGACAGAAGGGACGTACCTGTCTCTGTGGTTAACGGATGAGATCTATCATTTTGTTTAAGAATCAGCGCTGACTTTGATTAAATTATATTGAAATGAATGTGAATATTTGGGTACGGGTTACTGTAGTTTTTAATTGGCAAAGTGGCAAAGTTGATGAAATGCAAAGAGCAAGTAGATAGTCCATTCTCAATCCTAAAAGGTAAGTATATAATATTGTGGGCCTTTTAAAAACCATGCGGTTAGCGGTGGTGGGAGTGGGGGCTAATGACACCCACTACCATTTCCACAGCTTCCTTCTAATCTCAAGGAAGCTGTGGAAATATGAGAAGTAAAAAAAAATGCATCGGTTTTTTATTGCGCTTTTTTGGACACTCAAAGATCCTTCACATTTCATTATTCATTTAATCCATACACAGTGGTGATAAACTACTTCTGTAACCACAGCTGCCCTGGGGCACACTGACAGAAGAGAGGCAACCAGTCTGTGCCATCAGCCCTTCCCACCACCACCAACCACTCACACACACACCAGACTCATTCTAGGCAATGGAGGTGAAGTGTCTTGCCTAAAGACATTATAGCAGTTTGGCACATTACAGCTGCAGCCGCCCCACTGTGGCACCTGGTGTCCCAAGAGGTTAAGTGTCTTGCCCAAGGACACAACAACAGCAGACATCAGTGGGAGTCGGTGGCCACTGTCGCCCAACACCAGTTAATTTACCACCAGTGTTGAGTGAACAATAATACCGACTAACCTGTATGTTAGTCTCTGTTTGATGACATCTGTAGCAATTCCAGAAAGGAAAGGGTTAAAAGTGATTTTAAAGTGACTATAAAGCTTTCATCTTTAGCGGGTAGCTGCAAAAAGCTGTATACATATAATTGAACCATAAAGCCATTGTTTTGATTGTGAATAAAGCATTGGCCAAAGAATGTCTTTTGCTTTGATCCTTACTGCTCAAAAATTTGAAAACATAACAAAACAGAACTACAATTTTATAGTAGACCGAAAAATTCTACGCAAAATTAGAAAAAAGGTAAATCCAACAGACAGCAGGCGTTTGGGCTCTGATGATGCAACAGCAATGAATTAATCATATGCAGCTATATAAGCTTGCTACCCCCAAAGCATAATGGGTAATGTGCAAGAAGCAGATTTGAAGCTGGTCAGCTAAAAAAGAGGGCGGCAGGAGGAGTAGTGTTGTTGCATTAATCTGAATAAAAGAGAGAGGACCATGCGACTAGTGGCTGCTGAATAGAGAATCAGGGAGTACAAGCCATCTGGGACACAAATACATCCTGACACCGGTACTGCCCCTTTAACAGCCACTGATTTAAAGGTTCTGGTCCCGTTTCCCTCTGCAGTCATAAACCCCGCACTGGCCCTGGTCTGATCATACACAGATGATAGCAGGCAGTGCGGATTTACAAGCAGCTCTTCCATCGAAATAAAGATGTCGAGTTCTGACGGCTGACCCGGCGGGGCCCTAAAACTGTGCGAGTGTGTGTGAAGGTGCCTGCTTTAAGTCAAGCTGCAGCCTCCCGCTCCACTGTCACAACCGTGCCGTTATCACAATATAAATCCAACTGCAATAGGAGGTGAAGCAGCAGATATGGCTGAATGGAGACACAACAGTTCTTTCTGCAGGTGTCATAAACAGTTCTCTGCTCTCTCTCTCGCAGGTAAACCGGTCATGATCGTCACTGAATACATGGAGAATGGCTCCCTCGACAGCTTCCTGAGAGTAAGTCAAAGCAACAGAGGCTACATGGGTTTCAGAAAGTGAGGTATTACAAAGAGTTGTGTTATTCTCCAAATATAAGATACAAATATGGATACATTGATGTTTATTAGCCATAGCAGCTTTGTACAGTCTCACATAGATGCAATATCTGTGTTGTAAATATTATTCTATACTTACGCCATGTGAATTGGGTGCAGCTCTGACTGCCACCCCCCTGACCCAGAAGTGTATTAAGGGGAAACGTAGATGGATGGACTTGCGTTGTTGCACTTCTGGTTAAAAGCTAAACTGCATTTGGTTGCTTTGTTCTGACTTTCTAATAACAATAAAGTTGAATCTAATCTAATGTAAGGTAAAACATATAATGCAGTATGCAGCTTTTCTTGATGAGAGTTGGCATCTGCTTGTATCATTGGCAAAGGTTTGTCTATATTTGGAATTATTTATCATTACTAAGTTTTGTAAGCAATACAAATTAATTTAACCTTTTTATTTAAATAAGTTCCAATGAGATTTTAGAATCTCTGTTTTCATGGGAGTCCAACCTCCAGGCCGGGGTGAGCAGTGCGGTGTGGGGGGACACACGCAGACACGGGCAGAATATACAATCATGACTCGGAAACAGCCTGTGCCGACTTCTTTCTGAACATTTAAATCGCCTGGTCACTTTTCTTAATTGCAAATTAAGTGATTTTAGTTGCTCTCTATTCACTTGAACCCTAACCATAACCCTAAAGTTCTAGTATCATCACCTTTAAAAAAATAAATTGCCACCTAAAGAGTTAAGGGGGCTAATACATTATGCTAACCAGGTGCATGCCTTTCAAACCAAGATGAGAATAAGGATAAAGACATTATATATTTAGACAAATTCTGAACTCAAAGTAGCAATAAGTAGTTATATTCAAATGTATTTCATAAACACGCAGTTATTTTGGTTTCTCAATGCGGCATCATTCCTCTTGCGTTCCCTGTTCTTTTTCCAAACAGACTTTTCTAACACCTATCTAAGCCCTGCATATTTGATTCTTGCCATGCACCAGACTCCAGAAGAGAAATGGACGTGCCTTTGTGAAATGATTCTAGTCTTCTTGGCCAAAACCACAACACTGGCATAAAGCTTGCGTACCGATGTCTGTTTCCAACCTTTTCCCAGTGTCTGCGAAGTCTCCAGACACATCAGGGACGGGCAGCAGTTTGTCTTGACGTCTCCCCAAACGCTCTGCTCTTTATCACAACAGCAATGTGTCACTTATGGAGAACCCACACATCCAGGCCCATCCAGGCCCATCCAGTCCCATGCAAATTGAGTATAGGTTTTGTCTACTTTGTATATACAGCTCTTTGAAACGAGGAAGCCAGGTGGTCCGGCCACTAATTGCTCCAGACGAAATGGAACACAGGTCGGTTTTCAGAGCTCAAAAAAACACACACCCTAATTTTCCTGCGCGTGACCTGCTCTTTGACCAGCGCTCAGCCTGAGAGAAGGAAATGCCTCGGGTGGGAACGGGAGAGAAATGGACAGTGTTGTTTATGAGTGTGTTACATGGACTGGATTGACAGTTTTAGATCTGACAAACTTTGATAAACAAAAGGGGAAGTGATGTGTTTTGAAACTCAAAAACTGCAGATACTCTGATTTTGTACAATAGCGATTTGATTAAGTACTGTTATTGTCTTGCTTCTTCACCATGTTAAAGTTGGAGATTTTAGACTTCTTTCCATTTTCTGCTAAATATAGGGATTATACACTGCTTCTTTTTATGCTGAAGTTAGAGATTTTAGTTTAATTTACTTTAATTTAGCATAGAGTTATTTTTACTTTATCTTGTGCTGTGTCCTCCCTAATCCTACTGTATGTAACTTGTGATGACCTGTAGACGGCTAAGTTCATGTGTGGAGTTAAACATAAAAAAATCCCTCAGTCTTTACAGGTTTTGTTTACTGAAAGGCAAAGTCAATATAATTTGAGGGGAGTTTGTTTGATAGACCACTTTAAGGGAAGCGACTTTAAGGGAACATTGTTTATCCAGTAAAGCCGTGAAATTATGGAACAGTTGCTGCGATGAGCTAAAAGGTGCTACTTCTGTTTCAGTAAAAGAAAAATATGTGACAGTGTAACAATCGGAAACGTGTTGTGTTTTGTATCTTGTTTAGTGTGATTATTAATTACTGGATGTTTGTTAATGTGCTGAATTTGATTTAATAAGGTGGATTAGGGGCAGGCACGATAAGCTTTGGCTTTGCCTGGTCATGCACAGACTAACTTATGTTATCGTGTTTGTTTTAAACTGGATTTAAACTGGAATGACTGTGAATGACCAAACGACAATAAATGAAAAAGGAAATGATGCAACACTGAAATGTAGCATTGTATAGGATTTACAGTGATTCCTAAAATGGGGCCTAAAACACTAATCTTGGTGTCGGGGGTGATTTCATTTCATTTTTTAACAGTTCAATTATTAACTTGCCTGGCCTTAGCCATCCGTACACTCCGGTCCATCATCATTACCCTGCATGTACACAATGCAATTTGTACGATGGTGTGGTACGACCAGGCTAATTATTATTATTATTATTATTTTATAGAAATGCATAGCAATGCATAGCAATGCATAGAATACTATGAAATACCCTGACTGATACATTTTAGAAAACCTTGGTTTGGACGAAAAGAAAAATGTGAGACATTTTCCTTCAAACGTTTAATTCATAGAGTCTTTTTCTCATTATTTTTCAAAAGCAGAAAATTCCAGCTCTCCTCACGCCGTATATCCCTTTATGCTGCAGGTATGGGGATTTAACAGTGTAAAGATATAGAACGAGATGCAAAATGTCAAAGGTGCCTCATAAAGGGTAATGGGAATCAGATTCATACTAATGCATAGACTCCCCGTGTAATGCAGATTCACTGAAAGGTCATGGCCTTCTTTAATGTATACTCTACATTAAACCGTGTCATTAAAGCTATATTTCTCTCCACAGAAGCACGACGCCCAGTTCACAGGCATCCAGCTGGTGGGCATGCTGCGGGGGATCGCCTCAGGGATGAAGTACCTGTCCGACATGGGCTACGTGCACAGGGACCTGGCGGCGCGGAACATCCTGGTCAACAGTAACCTGGTGTGTAAAGTGTCCGACTTCGGCCTGTCCAGAGTCTTAGAGGACGACCCCGAGGCGGCCTACACCACCAGGGTGAGTGCGGCACAAACACCATGAATACAGTTCTATCAAAATGCAGATTCAAATATGCCATGTTTTAGGGTTGCGAAAAGTTGCTCCAAAAAACAAGAAAAAGTAGCTATGATTAGAGTAAATGTTCTGGTTATCTCCCAGTGGATCATGATTGTTCCACTTGTTTAGATTACTTGAAACTGGAAGAAGAATATGAATAAGTACAATTATTTTAAGAAGCAGTATGTAAAAATCTGGCCAAAGGTGGTACTGCAACCTCTCCCACTCTCCCTAATGCAACAAAACACCTCTACAATCCAGGAAGTACAACAGTAATACATTAATAATACATTCAACTGCCTGTTCAACAAAAAAGAGTTTGGGCTTAAAATGTTATGCAAAGTATTTTAATAAGTGTAAGAAGATCCTTTGCACCAGGGATCTCCAACCTGTGGCTCGGGATTTACCAGTAGCTCGCCAGCCCCTTTCAGGTAGCTCGCCAAAGGATTTAGAATTTAGCAAATTATCTTAAATTAATACTTTTTGAGCCATTACATATGTACTATAAGTATTGGGTTTTACAGCATTATGTTATACAGTATGTGTTCTCCATGTTTTGTCATAATTATTAGATAGATTATCAATACGACTGAAAAAAGAAGTAGCTCTCTGTCTCTTCGTTTGTGTAAAAGTAGCTCTTTGATTGAAAAAGGTTGGAGAATCCTCCTTTGCACTAGCACCTGAATGTGGACACTTAGTATGAAATGAAGCGTGGTTCTCTTAGTTCAGGACATCTGCTTAAAAAAGGAATATCTACCCTCGTGACATAAGTGTCCAACTCAAAAAGAAAGCTGGAATTCAAACTGCACAATTAGGAGGCAATAATGAATGAATGAAATAAGGAAACACCAACATTAAAGAGATCTTACACTGCAAAAAGTGGCTCCAAAAAGATATGAATAAATAGCTATTAGCCGTTAGCATGCTGTTAGAGGAAATTATTCAAGCTAAATGATCTGCCAGTGGATCATGATTTTTCCACTTGTTCAGATTTCTTAAAACAAAACAAAAAACGTATATAGTAATATTATCTTCAGCCTGCATGAGTAAAAAAGTAAAACAAAATGTGATTAGATAAATACACTGATACACCAGCTCTTGTTGGCAAAAGCAGAGGAATAACAGGCCCCAAGTTTGAACAGATCTAGTTCAGCGTTACTCAATAAGATCACATTTTACGACACAGAAACCATATCATTTATAATTCTGTTTCGAAAAGCCAGCTCATATTCTTGTGTGTGGTCATTCTCATCACGGTCTCCTGTGGTTTGGGCCGAGCGTGCAGCCCCTCCAAACACTGTGCAATTTCTGGCTGAGAATTGCTTGTCAAATAAACAGCCAGCGTTCCATTTGCCTTTCTCCCAGAAATACATAATCTAAAATAATAGGGGAAGAATAATAAACTCGGCCACTTTGTCGGAGTTACTGACAACGCTCCGCACATGCGCTAATTCCCAGCCTCACTTTGTTTTCTATGTGTCTACTTACTATGCAAATGGACTTTTGACAATGGAGATTTTTGTCCAACAGCAACAAGAGCAGACTAGTCATTTATCATGTGGTGTAGTGCTAACGCTGGGATTCCCAAGTTATGCATATGTTTAATGTATAAAATAGGGCTGCAATCTTTGTTGTGGCGGTTACGATAAAGTTATGAATAATTTTGGACATAATGACAATCACACTATTGCACAACTGAGGGGAAAAGGTCAATATTGAAGTACAAAATGGAGTCATATGCGTTGAAAGAAAAGAGAAGCAGTACATGTGACATACTTTAAAGCTCCAACTTTCTGTCATCACAAATATATTTTGTTTGCCCCGAGAAAAAGTGTGTAGTAAAATTCAAATGTCTGCTTTCATCTTATCAGACTCTTTTGCGTGGATTTTAGAAAGAGCTTTTGGAGTCCGAATTTGACTCCTTGGGCTGAGAATGACTGGTCCTCTCTTCTTCACTAACTCGGGCTGTAACAAGTTAATTGTCTAATCATAACTAGTTGATTACTGAACTAATTTGGTCATAAATTAATAGGTTCTTGAACAACACCTGGATCAGAACACGCTGAGAAGTGATATGACTCTGACGGAACTGTGAAATCCTGCAGAATGGCATGGAAATGTTTAAAAACTAAAATAATTTCAAATGGATTATGTGATTAATGTGGTGGTCGGAGGGGCCGATGGTCAGTGTGCCCCAGGGCAGCTGTGGCTAGTAGTTTATCACCACCATGTATGGAGTGAAAGAATAATGACATGTAAAGCCTCTTTGAGTGTCCAAAAAAGCACTATTTAAAACCGATGCATCATTTTTATTATTATTATTATTAGTATTATTATATCTCTATGAAGATCATCGCTTTAGGCTTGTTTTAGTCAAATGTGTGAAAAAACCTCTTATTCAATGGATAGAAGACTCATTAATTAATCAAAAGAATAAATTCCCAACATATTTATTTACAGCCCTAAAACTAACTATGTAGATGGATTGTTTTTTTATTTTTTTTTACATAGCTCTCTCATATGTGGTTAGAAAGTTGGCTCTTTGAGTTTTTGTACCTGGCAACAAAAAATGTGTACCGTGTGTAGACTATAGCAATTCAACAACAAAAAACATGTTGTCTTGCGTAATCCATATTGTATCAATTATTTTTCAGGGAGGAAAAATCCCAATCCGGTGGACAGCTCCAGAAGCCATCGCATACAGAAAGTTTACTTCCTCCAGCGATGCCTGGAGTTACGGAATCGTTCTCTGGGAGGTGATGTCATATGGAGAGCGACCATATTGGGAAATGTCCAATCAGGACGTAAGTGTAGCCTGTAATAACACCAAAAAAGGTTTACATTTGTACTGGCTCTCATTTGTTTTGTTTGCTTTGGAATGTTCAGGTAATAAAAGCGGTGGACGAGGGGTACCGCCTGCCCCCGCCCATGGACTGCCCGGCGACACTCTACCAGCTCATGTTGGACTGTTGGCAAAAGGAGAGGAATAACAGACCCAAGTTTGAACAGATCGTTAGCATCCTGGATAAGCTAATCCGCAATCCTGGAACCCTCAAAATCACAGCCAACACCACCTCCAGGTAGGCCTTCTGACTATAGCTATCAGTATCTATCTAACTGGTTTACGCTGTAGCTGTAAGTAGGGCCCTTTAATCACCGAGCTTCCATAACCCGTTCATAGCCAAAGTCCTTTCTAGCTCTGAGCAAGTCTGGACCAACATTCCATGTGTATCATTTGGTGTTGTTATAGCTGGCCATAGCTTTTGGAATGATGGTAGATGTAGTGACAGCAGCTGTAGTTTTCCGATCATTACTGCAAAGACAATAACAAGTGAGGGTTTGGAGCCGAAAGGGAAAAGTGGGATTTTTCTACCAAATGAGTTTTGCATCCTGTTTTGAACTTTTTATACAAATACTACTTTCCTTTCCCCGTTCAGAGCTGCTAGTGGTGTGCGATTGTTGTCATTGCCATCATTCTGCAGTGAAATATGAAACTTTCTACATATGACCATTACTTTTTACATCTTGTGCATTGCGTTGTTGTTGTTGTACTTGTGTTGTTGTACTTTGTATTGCAGTCTTACAGTATGCTGGTTGGCCCCCCATGGGAGTGTGGGATAAGCTCTCAGCCAATAAAGTATTGTCATTCCTGGTTAGGGAGGGGTGTGCAGGCCCTGGGCTTCGGGCAGGAGGCTGTAGTATTATAGAGACGTCAAGGCTCATAACATTGACTAATGATTTCTTAAGAAAGTGGAAATGGGTCCCTTGGAGTTTGCATGTAATTTTCCTGATTGGCTTTTAACACTGGGCGAGCGCAGGCTGGCGACACAGGCGAGGTGGTGATTTATTGCTCTGTGTGTATGTATGTGAGTGTGAGTGTGTTGCTTGTGTGTGTGTGTGTGTGTGTGTGTGTGGGAGACATGGCACAAGGGGAGCAGCTGCACTGGACTCCACACACCTCGTTTGTCTCGGGGCTTCAGGGCTTCATCGTGTCCCCTGCTCCTAATGGAACACCCCTCTGTCGGAGGTGGGAGCCCGGGTCTACACTGTCATAGATGTGGAAGGATTGGGGACAGTGCACCATGGTCATGGTCAGAGATAAATCAGAAAAAAACAAACAAAGTGTTGAGTTTATTTACTGCCACCAAAGCGTCTGACTGTGCAGCACTTTGTAAATGCTGTTTTTGAAAAGTGCTAAACAAATAAATATATATTATTATCATTATTATTGGTACATATCTACTACTAATATCTGCAATTTGCTTGAGTTGGGTTAGGTGCAGTATATATGAATATCTAAAGACATTGAACTGACGTAATTATGATTATCCGTGAAAGTTTATTTCCTTTCATTCTCCCACAGGTATAAACGTGTCACTAATTAATGGCAGCAGCTCTGAAACTCTTACAAGAAAATCTTTTGTTGCCCGAGAAACAAGCACAAACGCCAGAGAAGTGTCATCCTGAATTAGACAGAATCCATGTATTTCTTTGCCAATATTGCAAAGCAACATGTAACAAGAGAATTACTTCAATAATTGCATTTTTGTTCACTTTTCAATACCCCTCAGCAATCAAAGAAAGTCTGCACTATTCCCAAGCTAAGACAAAGAACAGCACTTGAAAATTACATTTCTCAAACAAAGCCACGGCTTCCTAATTAAATGCAGCCAAAACAGCGCAGGGAAAAGGCTCGAAGACACCACTTTGCCAAATAAGGGTACTTTGTGATTTTTATGTTTGAATAAGGGTCATTTCTAAACCTCCTGTGCACACGGCCTCTTGAGTTCAGAGAGCCCCACGCTTTACTGGGATCAAATTAGAATGTCACACTTCAATCAGTTTGGGTCTGATAAAACCCATCAGACCACCTGAGGAGAGCATTGATTAAAGCTACATTATCCTTCAAATCCAACAGATGCCAGCTTCTACTAATCATAATTTTAATTTGGACGGCGGGAGCTCCAGAAATCCCCGTGTTGATGAGGTCACAGGATCAGGGCACATGAGTCCTGAGAATGCTGTAACTTTGCATTTGTTGAAAAAAGTGATGAGAAATCCTTTTACCTTCTACTTTTACTGTGAATATTAGAAGGATCATGACCACACAGCAGCAATACCCATAGAAGAAACAATATCACAAGTGTTTTTTTGCGTGGAGTTTGTATATTTGTCCCTAAATCTATTTGTAACCACCTTGACACAAAGTAAATGTGCACTTTATTGATCCCCTTTGGGAAATTTGTCCTCTGCATTCCACCAATCCTAATGCCACTAAGGCTCAAGTCAGGAGCAGTGGTCGCCGTAGTAACAGCGCCCGGGAACCCATCTCTAGAAGTTGGTGCTTTAGTGGTAGGCGAAACTGGCGCTGTACTACGGCTACCACTGCTCCTGACCAAGGCCGTAGTAGCTTTGGAGGTAAAAAAAATCCCAACAGGGACAATAAAGCCCTACATGAATATAGCTGTGTTTGGGAGTCAAAACACGCAAGATAATATTTGAGGAACTGAATTATAGACACAAAATAAATAGCAAACATTAGATATTTACTGAAAGAATACAATACAATACAATACAATTTATTCTTGTATAGCCCTAGGTCACAACAGAAGTCATCTCAGAGGACTTAACAAAACCATTGAAATCACCAACACAGGTCAGAGAATCCACAGCCAAAACACATGGAGAATATAAAGCACACACAGAAGAAAATGTCCATACATGTTGTAGAATGCTAAAGTGTCCTGATCATCACCAATCCTTTCTGTTGGACACTAACTGTCCAACAAGACCCTCCTGCATCGACAAGTAACAACTCTTAAAAAACCCAGTGGGAAAAAGTGAGAAACCTTGGGGAGCACTAGGGAAACCCACAGGGAGGGAGACCCATATGAGAAAGGGATCCGCTCCTCCGGACGGACAGGCTGATGATCTAGGACCTAAGCTAGCTACAGAACGTGGACCAGTGGCCGCTGAACGTGGACAGGTCCGGTGCAGGACTGAAGCACTCCCAGGCGGGTCGGGCGGGGCAGTCCGCAGGTGTAGATGGAAGAGGCCAGGCTCAGAGATCCCGTCATCGTACCATGAAACAGACAATGGGACAACGGGTGAATAGCAATGAACAAACTACAGTCAGAATCCTAAAAGTGCTAAACAGATAAAGTAGATAAAGTAGGAAGGAGGAGAGGATAGTGCTGAAGTTACCATACTTCTCCCAGCAAACTGACTCCCTATGCAGCTTGACTAACACTCTGAGGAGTTTAACCTTCTCCGAGTCTTACCTTCCTAGCCATATGCTAAACTAAAGAGGACTGTTTTAAACCTAGCCTTGAATAAAGAGATTCATGGATTGCACACCAGGTGTGCAAACCGATCCAAGCAAACCTAATTATATATTATATATCATATACATCATATATACCATACATACCATATATATCATAAATAATACACAACATAACATACAGCATAATATATAACATAATATACAACATAACACAATACATTATTGTATAATATATAACATAATATATAACATAATACAGCATACATATATAATATATACACCATATATTATATATTACCTAATTATATGCTAAATTAAAGTAAAGTGCTTTAAGCCTGGCCTTGAATGTGGAGATCGTATCTGGTTCCTTAACATGAATAGGAAGCTGATTCCACAGTAAAGGAGCTTGGTAGCTTAATGCTCTGCCACCAACAGTGATTTTTGAGACCTTAGGAACCACCAGACGTCTGGCGTTTTGTGAGCGCAACGCTCGACTTGGTTGATACGACACTAACGTGCCTTGGAGATAAGAAGGAGCCAAGCCATTTATGGCTTTATATGTTAAGAGTAGGATTTTAAACTTTATTCTGTACTCCACAGGGAGCCAGTGGAGTGATTTTAACACCGGAGTTATGTGCTCCCTCCTTTTGGTACCTGTTAAGATCCTAGCTGCTGTATTCTGAACGAGCTGGAAGCTCTTCAAAGACGCTTTAGGGCACGCTGCCAGTAAAGCGTTACAGTAGTCGAGCCTTGAGGTGACAAACGCGTGAATGAGTTTTTCCGCGTCACTTTTAGGAAGGAAATTCCTAATTTTAGCGATGTTCCGTAGGTGGAAGTACGCCGTTTTAGTTGCTTGGCTTATATAAGCCTTGAAGGAGAGTTCTTGGTCAAAAATGACTCCAAGATTCCCCACACAGTGGCACAAATGTAATTTATGAGATCAAAACAAGGTGACTGGCTATTTCCTGGATTCCTGCAGCACATATGCAACTGTTCAGGATGCGCTCATCTCCGGAGAGCTCTAAAACTAGACACTGTCCAGCTGCAGCCAAGACCAGGTCAGGGAAGTGAAAGTTGCAAAACAAAACAGTGCTTCTTCTTCTTCTTCTTCTTTTTCTTCACCTTCTTCTTCTTGTTCTTCTCCTTTTTCTTGTTCTTGTTCTTCCTCTTCTTTCCTTCTCCTTCTCCTCCTTCTTCTTATCCTTCTCCTCCTTCTTATCCTTCTCCTCCTTCTTCTTCTTCTTCCCCTTCTTTTTCTCCTTCTTCTTCTCCTTCTCCTTCTCCTTCTTCTCCTTCTTCTCCTTCTCCTTCTTTTCTTCCTTCTTCCTTGTCCTCGTTCTCCTCATTCTCCTCATTCTCCTTGTTCTCCTTGTTCTCCTTCTTCTCCTTCTCCTTCTTCTTCTCCTCATTCTCCTCCTTCTCCTTATTCTTCTCCTTCTCCTTCTTCTCCTTCTTCTTATTCTTCTCCTTCTTCTTCTCCTTCTCCTTCTCCTCCTTCTTCTTCTCCTTTTCCTTCTCCTTCCTCTACTCCTTCTTCTTCTCCTCCTTCTCCTTTTCCTTCTTCTTCTCCTTCTTCTTCTTCTCCTTCTCCTCCTTCTCCTTCTCTTTCTCCTTCTCCTTCTTCTTCTCCTTTTCCTTCTCCTTCTCCTTCTCCTTCCTCTACTCCTTCTTCTTCTCCTCCTTCTCCTTCTTCTTCTTCTTCTCCTTCTTCTCCTTCTTCTTCTTCTTCTCCTTCTCCTCCTTCTCCTTCTCTTTCTCCTTCTCCTTCTCCTTTTCCTTCTCCTTCTCCTTCTC